TGTGGACAGTCAGGCCTTGGGAAGTAGCCTTTTTTCTGCCCTGTCTTTCAGGAGGACTATCGCCGCACTGTGACGGAGATTGATGAGAAAGAATATATCAGCCTTCGTCTGATCATATCAGAACTAAGGAACCAATATGTAAGTAACCTTGGCCCCTGCCCACAGTTGCCCTAGCTTCTCTTAGTTCTGGTGAAAAATTTCTTGCCACTGTCTGGGGCTCAAGATGAGGGATGGAGGTAAAATGAGTAGAACAAATTCTGCTCATCAACTGACTGTTGAGAACTCTGAAATCATTGAGGGTTTCTACCTGGGTATCTCCCTTATTTCTACCTGAGTGGGAAGGAGTGCAGTATAGTATAGGGGCAAAGATTAGGTTGTTAGGGTCAGACAGACTTAACTCTAGAATTAGCTCTACCTGTAATGTGTGGCCTTGGGCAAGTTGTTTAACCTCATATTTTAGTTTCCTCACCTCTAAAGTGGAACTTGAGTATCTACTGCACAAAGATGGTTTTTAAAAATGAGTGCAATAACACATTAAAGGACCAAGTGCAATTTTTGATATGTTAAGAGCTTGATAAATGTTAGTTATTGTTAGATACTCGGGGCCTTGGAAGTACCCAGGTATATCCAGTTTGGGGTAGTAAGAGGTGTAGGGCAGCACCCTGAATTCAGGTTCAAATGAGTGATATTGGTATTGGCACTATGTGAATAAAATTGCTTGGGGGTTTGGGAAGGAGAGATCGTGTTTTCTTTTTGAGGTAAGGGTAGAACAGATGTGTGTTTCCCTGCTCACTCTTTTTCTAGGTCACTCTACATGACATGATCCTGAAAAATATCGAGAAGATCAAACGGCCCCGGAGCAGCAATGCAGAGACACTGTACTGAGGCCAGGGCCAGGGCCAGGGCCAGGGGACTCTGTGAGTCTGGCTCAAGACCGACATTGCCTTGGTTTGTTACATGACTATCGTGATGGGGAAACTGGCTGGAAATAGTAATCACACCTCTCTGTTTTTAGTTAGAGTCTAATGAAACTCTCCTGTAGTTCTGTGACGTGTTTACCTCTTTTTTCAGGCCTCAGGAACTCTTGTATTTCCTTCCCTAATACCCCACACTCAACCTGACTTAATTTCTGGAGAACTCCAGGTTTATGTGTGCAGGATGTTGGCACAAGAATACTTGTGTTTTCTGTCCCCTCTCTACCCCCCGTCCCCCCAGTGTCTTGGGCTTTTCTTCCTTCTGATGATTAGTTGGTTAGAAGCTGAGGGAACTCGAAGGAAAGTGGTAGGTGTTTTTTTTAGAATCCAGGTCAGGAGGGACCAGCTCCTCTCCCTTATGTAGTGTCTCTTGCCACTGTGGTTGTTGGATCCTCCCTGCCTTGACACAGTGTTCAGGATGATGACTTTGAGTTTCCCACCAAAATACATCCCACCTTGAACCTGATCATGACAAGAAACACCTAACTCCTTCAGATGTTTTTATAACTAGAATTTTCACATACACATATGTGCGTGATAGACACACACTTACAAATGAACATACATCTGCCTATCTGCTCTGTTACCTGACATCCTTCCATCCTTCCCCAAACCCTGTCACACACACACTGTTCAGAAGATGATAGTTGTCTTAGTTGTCATCTGCTGGATCCCATCTGATATTGTAGCCTCTTGGTGCTCAGGGGCTGGTGAGTTGGAGGAAAACCAAAAGGTGAGGAGCAGAGGGATTGGGGAAGGTTCCTTTCTCTGTGACTCGGGTCCTTTTGGGCATTATTGCAAAGGCCAGTCCTCTGACTCCTGGTTCCTTCTTCCCAGGCCAGTTGTCAGTTGGGATGGGAATGTCTACAGCTGTGAGGGCCAGATGCTGCTGCTTCTGCTGGGCTTTCCCCTTGGGAAAAATATTTCTCTTATTTATAGTATTGTGCTTCCAGGGAAAGCAGTCACTTGTGTGTGTATGTGTATGTGCATGCACACATGCATGTACATATTGTATGTATGTGGAAATCTGGAGAAGTCAAAACCATAGAAGAGTTGCCTCTTATCTCTTGAATCTTCCAGAGATATCCCCCACTTTTTTATTCTCCCGCTACTAGGGAGTCAGTATCTGCAGTCAGCCTGCTGGTGACTCTCAATGTCTTTCTTATTCTTCCCCCGTCTTGGTCTTCCAACCCCCAATTATATCTCCACCTGGATGCATCATTTTTACTCCCAGTATGTTACAGAGAAGGAGTCAGGATGCTGTCTTCCCATGAATAGTACTCAGTAACAAACCAATTGCATTTTAGTTGGGCAATGCCCCTACCCACCCTCCAGATCCCTTCCAGATAAAACCCTTCCCTCCTCCCACCATGCATTTCTCAGTTTCCCTTTTTGTTGGATTGTTCCACTGTCCCTCCTCCTACCCTACCACCCTTGGATCGTAATGTAAAATTCTTTTACCATGTCAAGAAATTATTAAAAATACAGGTACTTTGACCTCTTTTTAAAGCCGCAGACCCTGGTGCGATGCTCTGGTGGCTAGGGACATATCTGTAATCACATGCGTGCACGTTGGGACACCTATCTTCACATAAACCTCCAGTCATCACCCTATTGGGTGTCTTTGCCAATTGAGCTTCCTCTTTTTCTGGAATAATGGAAAGACTGAGGCTTCTTCCTACCAAAAAGCAAGGGGGGGTCCTTCATTTATGTTCAGTCTGAATTACGTGAAAGTTAGCTGTTTCCTAACCTAAGCTGCTTTCTGTCCTGACCCTCACTCAACAAGATCCCTAGTTCCTTCCTTCCCCTGTGATACCCATGAACTGCCAGGAGAGGCTGCTCTAGTTCCACTTGGGGAATCACCTGGTGTGAGGCACACCCTACCCTGTCATATTCTTTACCTTATACTAAGTCTCCCCTCTGAATAATGTCTTAAATTTCTTGAGGAGATGCCAGGAGACACCTGGTTTTGGTTTTCAAAAGACTTGGAGGGCTGTCTAGGACACTACTCCCTCTGAAATAAAGTTTCCTCAACGTCCACCTTGTAAAGTAGCCTTCTGATATCCAACGATCCTCTCATTGTCTCTGCAAAAAGAGATCTAAGGTCTTGGACGATGGAGGAACATCTGCTCTGTTCTGTTTTCAGAGATCAGTACCAGTAGCTAACAATTTTTTAATGCCTACCCTGTGTCAGGCTTTGCTGAGCACTTTATGTGCATGATCACATTTAATCTTCATGATTCTGTAGGGTAGATATATTCCTGTTTAGGTGAAGACACTGAGACTCATGATAAGGTACCTTCCCTGAGGTCACACAGCTTAAAAACCTGGAATTGGTGCACAAACCTGACTGCTAAGCCCAGGCACTCACCGCTCCTCCTTCCTCACTGACTAGATAGAAGAGGTCTGAGACTACAGATCGAGGGCTTGGCCACAGGCAGCTAGCAGAACACAGTGCTTACCGCTGAACTGGGCAATGGATCCTGGAAATATTGGTGGGTAGTGCCTGCCAGGAAGTAGGAAAATGGACAGTTCTAGTGCCTGCATGCAGCACACAGGCCTTGGTTGGGCATCTGAGATTTGCATTCTTTTTCAGACTCATTTTGGGTGGAAGGTAGGGTTTAGCGTTAATCCAGATGCCCTCTAATCTAGTCTTAATGATGGAAATCAGTAGTGAGTACTGACTGCTGCTAGTAGTTCAGGGGCAGGGGAGATACGCTGCACGTGGAGGTAGTACCTTGGGCCAAACCACAGGACAGAAAATTGGAACAGAATTATACAAATCAAGGTCAGAAATTTCCTGTTCAACCCACGGGGTGGAGTTTTCTCCATTCCTATCCATCCTACTGAATATAAGCCCTTATTTGATGTCAGTAACTGGAAAGAGCAGCTGGTAGGACTCTCATTTCAGCTCTCGGCGTTCACCATGAATCCCAAGGTAGTCCTCGTGTTCCTGGCACTGTCCCTCATTACCATCTTTGCCCTGGCCTATGTCTTGCTGAGCAGCCAAGGGGGCTCTAGCCAGCCTCCCCGCTGCCCCTCCATATCCCACAGTACCCAGCCCTGGACACACCCTGGTCAGAGCCAGCTGTTTGCAGACCTGAGCCGAGAGGAGCTGACGGCTGTGATGAGCTTTCTGACGCAGCAGCTGGGGCCAGGCCTGGTGGATGCAGCCCAGGCCCTGCCCTCGGACAACTGTGTCTTCTCGGTGGAGCTGCAGCTGCCCCCCAAGGCCGCAGCCCTGGCCCACCTGGACAGGGGGCGCCCCCCGCCTGCCCGGGAGGCACTGGCCATCGTCTTCTTTGGCAGACAACCCCAGCCCAACGTGAGTGAGCTGGTGGTGGGACCGCTGCCCCACCCGTCCTACATTCGGGATGTGACCGTGGAGCGTCACGGGGGCCCCCTGCCCTATCACCGACGCCCCATGTTGGGAACTGAGTTTGCCCAGATGTGGAAACATTTGAAAGAGGTGGAACTACCCAAGGCACCAGTCTTCCTCGCTTCAGTCTTCAACTACAATGGTTCCACTTTGGCACCTCTGCAGGCTACCCCGAGTGGCTTGCGCTCAGGGGACCGGACTACCTGGATAGCCCTCCACCATAACATCTCAGGTGTTGGGATTTTCCTTCACCCAGTGGGGCTGGAGCTACTACTGGACCACAGGGCCCTGGACCCTGCCCAGTGGGCTGTCCAGCGGGTCTTCTACCTTGGGCGCTACTATACAGACTTGGGACAGTTGGAATGGGAGTTTAAGGCTGGCCGGCTGGAAGTGGTTAGAGTTCCCCTGCCCCTGCCGAATGGGGCTTCATCCCTGCGGTCCCGGAGCTCCCCGGGTCCTCTTCCCCCTCTGCAGTTCTCACCCCAGGGTTCCCGATACAGTGTACAAGGGAGCCTTGTGGTGTCCTCCCTCTGGACATTCACCTTTGGCCATGGGGTGTTCAGTGGCATGAGGATTTTTGATGTTCGGTTCAAGGGCGAGCGAGTGGCCTATGAAGTCGGTGTCCAGGAATGCGTATCTATCTATGGTGCTGATTCACCCAAGACGATGATGACCCGTTACTTGGATAGCAGCTATGGACTTGGCCGTCACAGCCGGGGCTTGGTGCGGGGAGTGGACTGCCCCTATCAATCCACAATGGTGGACATCCACGTATTAGTGGACAAAGGGACAGTCCAGTTGCTCCCAGGGGCTGTGTGTGTATTTGAGGAGGCCCAGGGACTACCTCTTCGAAGGCACCACAATCACCTTCAAAGTCATTTCTATGGTGGTTTGGCCGGCTCAGCCCTTGTAGTCAGGTCTGTGTCATCCATAGGCAACTATGACTACATTTGGGATTTTGTATTGCACCCAAATGGGGCGCTTGAAGGGCGGGTCCATGCCACGGGCTTTGTCAACACAGCTTTCCTGAGTGGGAGAGAGGAAAGCCTCCTCTTTGGGAACCGTGTTGGGGAGCAAGTGCTGGGGGCAGTTCACACGCATGCTTTCCACTTCAAGCTGGACCTGGATGTGGCAGGTGAGTGCTCAGGGGTTGAGGATCGAGAGCTGGGGTGGAGCAGAGGAAAGACAGACCCCCAAATCAAGCCGAGGCAAGAGAAGGGCTGGCATTCCAGCACCACAGTTCATTGTGGCAACGGAGTGGGGACTGATTTGAGTGTATTCAACTGCAGTGAGCCTGAAATACTGGGTTTACTGGGTATCTGGCAAAAGGCAGAGAGGCTTCTCTGCCAGGTCCTGATTACCCGGCCCCTCTGACTTGCTACAATTGTGAAATTAGTTTAAATGCAATGGCTGTACCTGGTTGCCTTAGCCTGGAGTGACACTGTGGATGGCGAATTTGCCCTGAGGTGGGGCAGGGCTGGAGTTGGGGTTATCCAAGTTCTCCCTAACTAATTCTGAGAGTCAGTGGAGGTGGAGAAAGCAGAGACCTGAACAGAGGGTAGGAAGCAGTCTGTCTTAAGAGGTTTTCTGAGTAGAGGTGGTCCAGGGGCATGAGAAAGGTAGGTTCTAGCTGGGAGTTGCTCCATAGGATTTCAGACAATGGGATATGGGAGCGCGGCCCCATCCTCCTGGGGGGCCATCCCATTCCTGCCAGCACATGTCATCACAATGGGCTCTGCAGTGACCTGGCAGGCATGCAGTAGGCTTGCTGCAAGTGTAGAAAGGGAGTTCTCAAGTAGGTCTCAGGGCAAAAAGAGGACTTGCTGCTCATAACATGTTTTTGTTGAGGATGGAAAATAACCCACTTATCAAATCACAGATGATTAGAACCAGGAAGAAAATTAGAGATCCACCAGACCCTCTCCCATTTTAAAGTTAGAGAAATTAAAGAGGGTGGGGAGGGAGATGGGACAGGAAGTGACTGCTCAAGTATAACAGCCTACTTTTTTGTGAAACATTTTTCTTTTCTCTTGAGTATAAAGATATGACGTGTGTGTGTGTGTGTGGTGTGTGGGGGCAGAGGGCAGGAAGAACTAAGAAAATAGCATGATCAAAATGACATTAACGATTCTTTGACATATTTAGAATATGTCTATTTTATGATTTGAAATTTCTCTTTAGCATTTTTGGTATTAAAGAGCTTTGTCTTGGGGAGTAAAATCAAGTAACATTTATTGGATCTCTAGTGTGTGCAGCACAGGCCAGTACTGTGGCCCAGAGGTTATGTCGGGCCCCTGTGCACAGGATAACCAGCAGAGGCTCTGGCTTCCATGTGCCAGGTGCCTTCAGATAGGTCACATTTAACATAACTGACAGTCTGAAACTGCAAAAACAAAGTATCTGATCAAGTGCCTAGTGGGGTGATGAGTGCAGGTTACGAATGCAGTAGAGTTCCAGGGAGTCTCCAGACAATTTAAAGACATGAATCTACTCACTTCTGAAAGTTGTCCCCACCTTGCTGAAAAAGAAAGCAAATTCTCAGAAGTGGGAAGGGTATGCAGGGCACCATGGAAGGGGATTGGGTTTTTCCAGCCAGCTTCTCCAAGACAAATATCCCTTTCATAGTTACGGGAATATTACTAGCCATCTGCATGTGCTTTTCCATTTACAGAGCTCAGCCATAGAACAGCTTTTACAATGCTCAGTGTAGAGATTTGGAAAATAAGAATCAGAAGCCAATAATTGGTCCAAGGTCTATTGGGTAGACCAGGGCTAACAGAACTGCTGCAGTGATGGAAATGTTCTATATCTGCATTGTCCAATACGTAAGCCACTAGCCACGTGTGGCTATTGAGCACTTGAATTGTGGCTAGTGAGCAACTGAATTTTTAATTTAAAACTGGTGGGCAGTAACCATATTGGACAAGGCAAAGTTGAAGAAGATGGGCTGGCACCCAAATCTCGACCTCCTGGCTCCCAGCATGGAGTGCTCTCTAATGAACTCTGCTGCCCTTTGTTAGGGCAGTGTCGTGGATGTTGTGAGGTAGGTGAGGAGCCTGGCTCACCTGGCGTGGAACTCCTTTCCCTCCCATCACCCTGGCAGGGCTGAAAAACTGGGTGGTAGCTGAAGACGTGGTGTTTAAACCTGTGGCAGCCCCTTGGAGTCCAGAACACCAGCTGCACCGTCCACAGCTGACTCGGCAGGTCCTGGGAAGGGAGGACCTGACAGCTTTTTCCTTGGGAAGCCCCCTTCCTCGCTACCTTTACCTGGCTAGCAACCAGACTAATGCCTGGGGTCACCAGCGTGGGTACCGAATCCAGATTCACAGCCCCCTTGGCATACACATGCCCTTGGAAAGCGACATGGAGAGGGCCCTCAGCTGGGGGAGGTGAGGAGAACCCTGGGCAGTGGGTGGTAGGGAAGGACTGGTCCCCTTCCCGATCCTAGCTCTTGGAGACCCCAACTCACTATTCTTGGCTTACCATTCTCCCCTATATCTCCTCTCAGATCCAAGTAGATGTGGGATGGGAGATGGTCTCACACAGAATCTGATCTAAAGGACTTCTGGGACAGTAAAGGCCTTTGACATTTCCTGACCCCACCTTCTCACGACATTCATTCCTGGTCAGATACCAGCTCGCGGTGACCCGGAGGAAGGAGGAAGAGTCACAGAGCAGCAGCATCTATTACCAGAATGACATCTGGACGCCCACTCTTGCCTTTGCTGACTTCATCAATAATGAGACTCTCTTAGGAGAGGTTGGTAGCCCAGGGGCAGAGGAGAGAGCCTCCTCTGTGTCTGGTATCTTGGCTGCCCAACCTCTGGCAGTAGGTTGGAGGGAATTGTACATTTCCAGTTCTCAGATTCAGGGGCCAATGAGTTCTCTCATGACCAACATGAGTCATTCCTCCTAGGGTGAGATTATCCTTGGGACACTGACTACCCTATAGTTTCTCACATGGATCACTGAACCCATTATGTGGGCCTGGGACTGGGAGGAGGTAGAAGGGGGTTAAGGCTGGAGGCTGGGGATTGTGGCTGAGGGGTGGTTCTTTGAGTCTTGCCTCCAAAGTCCTCTAGCTCCTCCCTTTTCCTGCAGGACCTGGTGGCTTGGGTTACAGCCAGCTTCCTGCACATTCCCCATGCTGAGGATGTCCCCAACACAGTGACTCTGGGGAACAGAGTTGGCTTCTTGCTCCGACCCTATAACTTCTTTGATGAGGACCCCTCCATCTTCTCCCCAGGCAGCGTCTACTTTGAGAAGGGCCAGGATGCTGGGCTCTGCAGTGTCAACCCTGTGGCCTGCATCCCTGACCTGGCGACCTGTATCCCGGACTTGCCCCCTTTCTATTACCAAGGCTTTTAACCCCAGAGTGTGGTGGGATACAGAGAGGGGGTGGGCATGTGCTAAGATATCCATACTTTTCTGTTCTTACTTCCTACTTCCCTGACTTCAATCCTCTTAATGTTTCTCAGGAAACAGCCTGTTCCCACACTAAACCCCCATATATCCTTTCGGTTAATTCATATTTTCAGTTTCTTATTTCTAAATGATGATTTTATACAAATGATATTATTAAAATATTCCAGCAAAAACACCACAAATCCTACGACTCAGAAATAGCAAGTGTTCACATTTGGTGAACGTTATGCCAGACATTTCTTTATCCAGGTGCATTGAAATGGAAGAATAGATAGAATTTTGTAAAAATAGATGTAATATGCAATTTATAATAAAAAATATGACAAAGTTTTTACTTGATTTTCTTCTATGTGACTGGAAGTATCTAGAATTCCCCCAGAAAATATTAAGGATTTTGGCCAAGGAAATTAGCAATGGAGGAGAAGAGGACAACGGGGACAGACCTGGCCAAGGAATGCTGCTTGGGAAGCTGAAGGGCTAGAGGTGGGGGTTTCCTTGGAAGGAGAACAATAGTTCCAAGTTACAGGAAAGAGAACATCTGGCCTTGGGAAGATAGAGGCTGGGGAAGAAGCAGAACTGAGCGGGGTGAGGGGCCACAGACCTTGCTCCCTGGTAGTGGTGTATTTCCTGGCTCAGGCTGGTCCGCTGCATTATTTTGAAATCCCTCCCCTTCTCCTACCCAGCTCTCCCGAGTTCCAACCCTGACCCAGAGAGCAGAGTCTGATTTGGAGCCTGGAAGACAAAGCCATTTAAGGTCTGTGGAAATCGCGGCTGCCCTGCTTCAGGCCCGCCCCCTAGCCCTGGCTGGCCCGGCCCCCCATCCCTCAGCCTTCCCAGTTCTTCCCACCCTCAGTCTCTTGTGCCTCTGAATACAGGGAACCTAAACCAGAGTCCAGGATCCCCCAATATAGGAGCCAAGAGAGACCCTCTTCTGCTGGCCTGAGAATACACATCTCTACTCTGGTTCAATCCTCTGTCCCTCTGTTTATGGAACAATGAACCAGAAGACCACCCTGGTGCTCCTTGCTCTGGCTGTCATCACCATCTTTGCTTTGGTGTGTGTCTTGCTAGCTGGCAGGGGAAGAGATGGGGGTGAACCCAGCATGCCTCCCCACTGCCCCTCCATGCCTTCCAGTGCCCAGCCCTGGACACACCCTGGTCAGAGCCAGCTGTTTGCAGACCTGAGCCGAGAGGAGCTGACGGCTGTGATGAGCTTTCTGACGCAGCAGCTGGGGCCAGGCCTGGTGGATGCAGCCCAGGCCCTGCCCTCGGACAACTGTGTCTTCTCGGTGGAGCTGCAGCTGCCCCCCAAGGCCGCAGCCCTGGCCCACCTGGACAGGGGGCGCCCCCCGCCTGCCCGGGAGGCACTGGCCATCGTCTTCTTTGGCAGACAACCCCAGCCCAACGTGAGTGAGCTGGTGGTGGGACCGCTGCCCCACCCGTCCTACATTCGGGATGTGACCGTGGAGCGTCACGGGGGCCCCCTGCCCTATCACCGACGCCCCGTGCTGATCCGAGAGTACCTGGACATAGACCAGATGATCTTCAACAGAGAACTGCCCCAGGTGGCTGGTCTCCTCCACCACTGCTGCTTCTACAAACGTGGAGGAAGGAACTTCGTGACGATGAACACAGCCCCCCGGGGTTTGCAATCAGGGGACCGGGCCACCTGGTTCGGCCTCTACTACAACATCTCAGGGGCTGGGTTTTACCTGCACCCCGTGGGGGT